GGGGGGGGGGGGGGGGGGGGGGGGGGGGGGGGGGGGGGGGGGTCATGAACAGGCACACAGCCAAAATCCTCCAGGGGACAAAACAGCTGAGATAGATGGCGGTTGGAAACAACAGATAATGTAAAAATATTTCAACCACCATCAATCTTTCTTTTCAAGCACTGCCGTGATAGGCCTATTACTTTAGAGACCATATCTGTGATAACACTTGTGACACCCCTCCGATAATTTTTTCTCCCAATCATCAGTGAACTTTTACTGCTGTAAATTGGGTGGGAGTATGTGCAATTCTCCACCCCCCCTCCTTGTTCCCAAACCGACTCAGGTGGCAAGTTTGCTGCAGAGGGCGGACTTATTAAATGATAAGATGATGAAACGGAAAGGACTCGGTTGTCGTTGCCTTTGAATATCATTACACTTCGATCCTCTTCAAGTGTTTTCCAGACACATGCGTGACACTTAAATTGATCGTTCTCCAATGAACATCTGTGTCTGGGCACACAATTTACGGTTTCAAAGGAGACAGTAGAGCGCCGGGAGGCTGATTTCCATTTCAGTGGAATTACTTGCGGTATGAGAAAAAGGGTTATTAGGATTTTCAGCGACTTCTGTACAAAAATTGCACGCAGGTTGATCTCCTTTTTTCTCTTCTCCAAAGAATATCACAGAATCCACTGCTGTCTCGCCCAGTTATTTCAATTAACAATGGAGCAACAGCCTAGTGAGTGATTAAGTGGGTGATTAGTCATTATCAAACCACACACGATGCCATCAAATTAACATTGGGATGTGACAACGGCAACACTGCCAGGGCAGATTTGACAAAAGGGATCAAAGAGATCCATTATAACCACTGAGTTAAAATGATAGGGAGCATGTCTGGCACAGAAAATAAAGTGATGAAGCTGCTGCCACATTTGCGAGATGAGGACAAAAGTACTGTGGAGAGAGCATGTAGAAGGTTTCTGACCCAGACCATTAAATAAAGGGCTGCTAGACCTGTTGTTTGAAGACAGCTCAATGATTAACGCTCAGTGTTCACTAAAATCTTGCATTGGGAACAGTGTTCAATATGCTTTTAATTTAGAAAGCAATGCTGTTCATTAATTGCTCATTGATTATGCTCACACAGTAAACAGCCTCTTACAGCTGCCACGGTCATGCCTAAGTAAATTCAATGTAAATCTAATTATTTTGCCTCATCATTTTATCTGTAATGGCGGCAAGATAAACCAAGTATGCTCCGTACCTCCTGGCAAGTCAGGTCAAGTTAATTTTAAGATTATGTCTGCAACCTATCATCCCACGCATGGCACCAACAGGACTCCATGGCTGTAACTAATTAGCACTCACCACAAGTCAAAATGTTTCATTACAGAATACACCTAGATAAGCCACAAGGAGAGCGCATCAGAAGCTCTGGAACTTAAAATCATGACACAAACTTTGCCAAACTGTTGTAAGGCATATACAGTAAAAGCTTTTGTTGTGAAGGCTTTCCTCAAAGACTTTGTTGTTTCCAGTAATCTGACATGTAAGGGAGAGAAGGTTTTCCATCCCTGGAAACAATACTGGAGGTAATTACAGTAATACTGTAAAGGTGCTCCTGAGCACCAACGGGTGCCTGCTTTGAAAGGATCCGTCTTATATAGTTGTTTGTGATAAAGGAGACTAATGGCTTGTGCTCTATTTAATGGGTTGTTTGACTGGTGGTATACACCTCATGTAGCTCTCTTAGAGATTGATTGGGATAAAGCAGAACAACAACAAGGACCGAACTTGCGACATCATCTCCAATCTGTTATATTTGCCAAGTGTTTCAATCCGTTTTTCATGGTTATACAATCTTGAAGCGTCCCACAGAAAAACGCATTCATGAATTGTCCGAATGTTTCGTCATCTCACCACGTCGTATGCAGATTTGTATACGTGTGTATTTGTGACATGTGGGGAGTGATAGTGTAAATGTGTGTCAGGTTTTACCTTTTCTCATCCCTGTACCATTCAAACTCTGGTGTGGGCACGGCCGTGGCGTCACACTGCAGTGTCCCCATGCGGCCCACTGGAGTCTCTGAGCTCTGGGTTCTCTTCATTGTCGGAGGGTCTGCAGAATCATACAATGTTGAAGTAAGTAACATCTTAAAACCAATAACCAAACTCCTATACACTGCAAAATAAAATGATTTAACTTGACACTTTCATTTGTTCTTTTTTGGAATGCTCAGATTTCCTTTTCCTACAAGGTGAAATTCATTGTATTTCATCAAGTATGTCTGAATAGGGCCACTGACATAATTCAGAAGACAAGCACTTTCTACAATATATAAAAGCAAACAAACCAACAAATATTTTGGAAGTGAAAGTTTCTTCTATGAGCCACATTTCATAGTCTCAAATTGAATTCTATATTTAGGCCTTCAAGCCAAGAGCTCCAATTTTATTTGGAGCTCAGAAAAGTAATCAGTGCTAAAACTTTAAATTCCTTGAGTTTATTAACATTTCTCATACAGACAGAATTCTACAAACGTCATAACGGCCATCAATATGTGGATTAATACCAGTTTTCCATTTAGGATCAAACACCAAGAAATGGTTTAATATTGAAATCTTCATCGTTTCATTCACTTAGACTGGGCTAAAGTACAAATCGGGCAACCAGCCATATGTGATTTGTTCCGATCAAAGAGAATTCTCTACCTCCTCTGAGGGGAAGTGGGTTTGTGATGTCCCGGGAGGTGTTCATCAATCTAACAGATGTATTACACCCGACAGTTCTAACATGGACCCCTGATGAGATGTAATTAGGTGATCTTATTTTGAAATGCTAAGCGTATCTTTAGTGATGGTGGTACGTGACAATTACCATGTTGCAATCAAAGCGAGAGATGTTTATCTTTCTACCTGGATTCATCTTGAGAAAACTGAGCGGTGCTCCAAAACTTTCAAGATTCAATCATCACTCTCTGCCAAACAACATTCTCCAAGTCTCTACACTCACTTCCAATCTTGACTTTTGTATGCTTTCATCTAATGAATGTATCATCCTGTGACATTTCTAACACAAAAAGGTAGTGAGCGAGTGGCGTATTGTCGGGTTACTTACAGCTGACAAGCACATTGACATATTTGACATCAGGCGTGGCGACGTCGTTGCTGGCCTTGCATTCGTACCGACCCGCTTGGTTTCGCATGATACCTATAATGTCCAGGTACTCCTCTCCGTCCAGCGGCTCTGCTGCAGAGAGTTAGAGACAGATGGGATGGAGGGATTGAGGGAGTCAAGAGGGAGAGGAGCAAAGAGAGAGAGACAGAAAGAAGGAGGAGGGATGAACACAAAGTTAATTGAACTCCAGAGTAAAGACATTTCCTTCTTATTTCAAATCTTACTTTTGCCACTGACCAGAATAATCTAGTAGCCATCAGTTCGAATGGAAAAGCTGAATGAATGGAGGAAAAACTGTCCAACAGATGGATGCATTGAGCCACATCTTTGACATACCAATCACTATACTGTATACATTACTTTACATTACGCACTTTGTTTGAACATACTCACATTGAGTTTTGTTGGAGACATGTTTATATGTATCTTCATACTTTGGATGTTTATTGTTCTGTCAGATATCTGTTTATACTACTACAACAATTTAAGATTTACTCAGAACTTTCCGGAACACACTTTATACAAAATACTGTATATTGAGGCACAAAAAGAAATGTCAACATTGCTGAATGACACATTTCATCGTTCATATTGCTATCAGATAGGCGTGAGTATGCTCAAAATAATTAGTTGATATAACCTCTGCAGAAGTGTTTATAGTTTTTGAATTAAACTAGAAAATTCATCCACACTCATATTGCACAACAGAGTTAATTCAAATTCACAGTCAGGTCATGCTGTGAAACTCAGATTGAATGACTTCGATTGACTCTTAAACTGGGGCTGCATTTGATATTCAACAACTTGTTAAGCTGACTTTTATTAGTTGTTTTCCTGACAGCTTCAATTAACAGAGGCGGTAGACAAAACATCTTAACCGAGTGGAAGAAAACCACAGAGGCTATCAGACAGATATCTGATCTGCTTTGTCTTATTACAGATCTGTGGGTGGGGCAGGAGGAGGCAATGGCAAACTCTTTGATGTGCTGCCATATTAATTGCACTTCATCTTTTCAACACCTCTAAAAAATAGCATTGGAGTGAAGAGATATCATTATTTGCAATGTCACAATGTATTACTTTGGTGATTGTGTGACATTGCTTTCGTTTGAAAGCGGTGTGATAACTAATGCTGCATGCGACAATACCATTTGTTTGCACACAATAGAAAGATGTACAGCTTCTACGTACATTGCAACGTGATGGGAAATGAAATTATTGGAAATTGGAAACTTAATAAGGAATCATCTGCTTGTAGCCAGTATGCCAACAGTGCAGATCTCACGATATTTCTCGAAAAAGATACAATTATCTGCCCTGAATGAGGGAGGGAGTCTCCTGGGACTGAGCAAATTTAATAACAACAATAACATGGACTGATTATTTTCTGAATCTAAGAAAATAGGGAATGATGGAATCTCGGCGGTGGAAATGCATTGCGAGGAGGAGATCTCTGGGCTGAATGGGGAGAATGCACTGTTTGTAACAACAGTAAATGTCAATGGTCTCAATTGTGGGCAGGTTCATGCTCATGTTACGTGTGAGGGGCTGCAGGCTCTGTGACACCGAAGCGTTGCGACCTGAGGAATGAACAGGCAGCTTCGGGGACTTCGATATGGGAGGTTAGTCCAAAAAAACAGCCGTTACACTTTGGTGAACAAACCTAAATGCTTTTGCCATTTCATGCCGTGAAGCTCACAAAATCACCAGGTAACAACAAAACATCCGTGTGACTTCCATACATGCCTGAAGCTAAAACACCCTGCAAACCCTGCACATCTGCAAAACTGAGTCAGGCATCAGTGTTTGAAACAGAAAGAGAAATATAACTAAATGATCCATATCAAGTGCATGATGGGGATGGAAGTCAGTTCATACAGTATTATTTCATATCAGTGGGAGAATGATCAAAGCCTGAGCCAGACCATATTCAACCATATTCAGCTCCCACTGGACGAACTGCCGGAGTAACGTGATTGGAGAGGTATGATTGAAAATCTGTTGCCATGGAAATTCTATTGAAGCTCAAAGCTCTTCTTCAGTGCTTTGGTTTTGGTGCTGGATACACAGAGAGAGAGAGAGAGAAGACCAGGTGACTGCAAAGATCAAAGCATAGAGAAGAGAGAAGAGAGGAGAATCCAAATGAGAGATGAGAGGAAATGTCTCAACTATTTCTTTTCAAACGCAGCAATTAACTGTCAGTAATCTCACCTGGTGTGTATAGAGAGCAACTCAATCATGGGGGATAACGGGAACGTGATGTATCATCTGAAGAAACAATTCATTACAATACATTTCATGCATCTTTCGTCCGTGCCCATAGGAGAATACAGCTTCCTTCATGAGAAGAGTGTGCTTCACGTTATCTGTTTAATGAAGCGTAATGAATAGATAGGTTAATCTTGTCTTGAGGGAATTGATTGGAGCATGTGTACAGTGTATGTGTGTGCATGTGCGTGCACACAGGCCCCACGCCTGCGTGCGGAGGCGTAATGTCTCCGTGGTGAGTATGACGCGTGCATGCATGAACTGGGATGAAGACACATTTCCTTGAGGGCTGTCAGGAAGCACTGACAGCGGTGAATGAGCACATTAGAAAAGCCCCATGAATCCTGGCATTACACTATACTACGTAATCACATTTCTATGCTAATCTGGAGGAAGGAGGGAGAGTTGGTGACAGTGAGGGAAACAGTATTAAGTAAGGGAAGGACAAGGAGCATTTGTTTTCCAAATAAACCTTTTTTCCAGATACAAATCAGCAGGCTGACATGCTGATGATCCTAATTACAGTAGCACTAAACAAACAGTACAGCTGGTATCCTACATTTGAAGGTATTTGATAATAAACCAAACATATTGGACAAATGCGAATTAGTACCTGCTAAAGTTGGGGGATTACCAAAGCCACTGGGATTCATCGTCTGAGCACCGTACATATCTGTGCCAAAGTTCATGGCAATCTGTGCAATGGTTGTCAAGATACTACACTGAAAATAAAACATGGCAACCTTGTGGTGGTGCTAGAGAAAAGGTCAGTGGAGTTCATCCTCTGTGGACCAGGAATATCTGTACAGAATGTCATGGCAATCTATCCATTAGTCGCAGAGACATTTCAGTCTGAACCAAAATGGTGGACCGACAGATATCGTCATTCCTGCAGCCAAATCGCAATCATGGGGAGATTATTATCATCACCTAATAATGCTCAGTATTTATGTCATTCTGTTCATTTATAATAGCTATATAGTTGGCCAGGTATGGTCATAATCACAAATTGCTTGTAATATCTGACAATGACCTCTAATGGCGGCAATTTGCAGCTTAAGCTAACGAGCTTCCATTAGCTTCATTGAAATGGTCATTGCTCTACAGCCCTGAATGCCGGAGGTTTCTATTCAGAGCTTTGAAGGTGATATATTTATAATGATAATACAATGTGTTGTAAGTTGTAACTTTAACTGGGAGATTCAAACAACTCTATTCCCTGTTCCACTTCAATTTTTTTTTTTTATAAATTAAGAACAAACAACCTGTTCTTTATTTTTGTAAATGTCAGAAATGAAACAGTGTGGAGTTCTTCCATCTCATAGAAAAAACATGAATTAGATATAGATGAGTAAATTGTCGGTATAGCTTGTAAAATAAACTGTTCCAAATGACTGTACTTTAAGTTGCTTCTTAAGACAATGCAATTATGATAGTTTAATTTAGAATCTTTTAAATAGCAATGTTGATGAGCAACCAAGCGTTCAGCAGATGGACGGAGATATTTTTAACATTGAAACTTTGGCTCTTTTGGCAGTACTGACACCTATTCTTTCTCTCTTGTTCTTGATCACACATTCTCATGGGTACACACACATATAGGTGTTCTTCCGCTTCCAAAATCTGTGAATGCAGGTCAGAGTTTCAACCCCTGCCAAACTGCAGTGTGTTTTTGTTGTACGTCTTTTGATTATATTTCCATGTTGCAAGCGGTTTTCTCCGACTTCTCTCCTGCCATACTCGGGAGTGGGGGAAGCACAAGTGTCAGTAGCCTTGAGCTACTCTCACAATAGAATTCACAATGAGGAACACACAGAGAATAGGTGCATTTTTTAGTATGAGAGAAAACCGGAAATAGAAACTTGTGGTTGCAGAAGGTGTTTTGGACCACTGAACTGTGAAAAGATAAAGACAGAGAAAGCATCCATATAAACTTAAGATCATCTCTGTATGAAATGTGAAAGCTCTACCGTGTGTCACCACTGGGATGCAGCTATCAAAATGCTATGAAAATACTAAGTGTCATAATCACTTCCAATTTTGTGCTTGTAATATCTTGTTTGCAAGAGGTATCCTATTTTAGGAACTGCATATCTAATTTTAGAATGAAACTACTCCATGATGATCACAGAGAGATGTATACCCAGCACACAAAAATCCAGAATTAAATTGTCTTTGCCGAGATACTTGGTGATTGGACTATTTAAAAAGCATTGTTTTAGGAGTGGGTGAGAATGCTCAAAAACATACTGTAAATTAAAGCCATGTAATAACTGAGAATTGGAAGAAACATCAGCAAATAATTAAGTTCTACAGTGAGCTGCATTTCTGCTGACTAAAGCTAAATGAAGCGATACAGCCAGCTTTTCTTCCGAGCCATTTGAAAGCTTATGAAATGTGTTGCAAGACTAGATGGAAAAAAATGAAGTTGACTGTCCAAACTGCAAAACATGTAGTGTATACCACATGCTCATGGTATACCACATGCTTATGGCTGAGCAGTGACAGTTCATCAATTGCTGCATTTAAACCCACCTTTCACCCTTTCGTGGACACAAAGCTCAAATTGCCATTAACTAATTTGCCATGCAGCCTGGCGCTAGCCATGCTGAAAAGACCCATCATAGCGTTGAAAGCCCCGTGCCCCTTGTGATATGCAACAGCAGGCTTCTGTAAGTGAGTAGGGAATAGTTGAGGGGCCTTTAGAAAGTTCACTTCTACAAATGCCTGCTGGATACTGATTTGCATCGTACTGGCAACTTTAAGTTTGTGTGAACAACTACAAGTTTTCTACGTCAATTAAA